CCCCCCCCCCCCCCCCCCCGCGGGCCGCCGCAGATTGCAGCTTGTGTATGTTCCGTGCGGATTGCACTCGACGCCGGCTTGGAAGCGCGAGGTGAGCTTCGAGGAGTTCATGGCCATGCTGCATCCAAAGGAAAGTACGAGGAAAATGAGCAAGAACAGAAGCTTACACGAGCTTGCGGAGCAAGCCTTCAAGGAGACGGCTGGATAAACATCCATCCCCTCGACAGTCAGCAGAGCTCGACGTCCCAACACCTTTCCCCAACAATGAAACGGAAGTATCCGGCAACTGTCTCACTTTACTCTCGCCTTGCTCTCGATTTGTGTCTTCCCGCCTTGTGGCCTCACGTGGAAGAGAACTCTTTGCGAGGCATTTTCAACGGGATCTTTTAATATGCATGCTCAGGAAGCACGACGGCTCTTGTTAGTGGTTGCAGTATGCTGAGAAAAACATGTCCACGTTTGCGCAGCCAAAGCTCAAGAGCTGTCCTCAGCTTGCCGGGTGGTGCACATCTGTTGCTCGCGGGTTGGTACTTCGAGGGCGCGATACAGGAAAATGGTGCATGATGGTGCATGCCGGGCTTGAGTTTAGCCTGCCACTGACTGGTTGGATCGTCAACATGAGAATGGGGTTGTCAGAGCAGTCTTCACTTGGTTAACGTGCCGTTGTTTCGGTTGAGAAGGTGGAATGATCATTGGACTCAACTGTTGGCAGTGGTGGACCCAAAGGATGCTCGTAGACGTAGATTGAATCACGCGCACAGATCCTTCCACTGCAAGACTTGACAGACATCATGCAAAGACAGGACAACAGACAGCAGACGGCATACAAGTCAGAGCAAGTGGAAGTGTAGAGGCAGAAAGTCTTTCCAGCTCTCCGTACAAGATCTGCATTCACTCACTATCTTCTTTTCAGCCTCCCGTTGGCTCTGCGCCCATTGTGATGGTTGCCCATGGGACCCTGCAGGCCGATTTTTATCCCAGGCTCATGCGTTGGCCCTCGTGTGGCTTTCAATCGCAGGTGTGCCCTCCTCGGGCAGATGCGAAGAGGCCGCCCGCGTGCCGCGGGCTTGGCATGCAGCAGGGGGAAAAGTTCGAAATCAAAACACCGACTTTGGGGCCTTTGGAACACTGGTGTTTTGAGCCTCCGCCTCCGGGAGCGACACGTCCAGGTCCTTCTCAGAACTTCGAGACGCCCCCGAAGCGAAGCCAGGGCCCTGGCACACTGCTCCGTCAAGAAGACCAGACGACGCACCAAGGGCGCAGCCTGAAGGGTGCCGACAACGAGGCCGGGCCTTTGTGCGCCAGAGAGGAGGGGAGTCGTGTGGTCGCTTCAGGCTCCGAATGCCTTGAAGGCGGCTTGCGAGGCGCTGAGGAAGGAGTTCGCTGAGGCCACACAGCGAACAAGATGCTTACTTTTTTGCTCTGATGATGGCGTCATTGGGTCGGGATTGGAGATTGCCTGGGTACGCATGTGGTGCCTATGGAATGGCTTTCTACCAGTCCTCGATGCCTGCTTGCTAGGACTATTTCCTTGCACCGGCCAAGACAAGGCGCAAGAGGGACTCAGGGGGGCAGACTGATTTGCCTTCTGCAGCGGTAAGCACATCCGCAGAGTAAGCCCGAAACAGCGCCCCATGGCCGAGGCTCCCGCCAGATGAGATTGTACCCAGGCTCATGAAACTCGGTGGACAGGCAGGGCCTTTGCGAAACTGGCTGCCTCACATTCCCATCCCACCACCTCCTCCCCAAGCCCAATAAAAAATATTCGGCACATGTAGCACGGCACTTGTACCCTGAGGGGCCCCCCCCCCCCAGCCCCCAAAGGCAGAGGCCTGCCAGGAGGCCCTGGCCCTGGCAAAGCAGAAAAAGAGCCACCTGGCAAAGAGGGAATCGTCTTTTGTCCCTCTCAATCCCCCCTCCTCCTTCTGTGCCATCTTGGGAAGAGGCCTATCATGAAACATCACACCTGTAGGGAGCACTGGGGTTTGGATGGGGGTATGTATGCGAAAGCATTTTGTTTTTTGCTGTTTCCGGCCTCGATAGGAGTGACTTTGGATTCAATTCTTCGGGTTCGGAGATATCCAGGTCACAATCTCTTGGGATGAGCTAGGACACAACCTCCGGTCCGGGATGTCCTGGGAGTTCATGCTGATGCCTTCGTGCAGAAAGAATTTGCCAGCCGCAAGCTTGAAAGGGTCGCCAGCCCAGGTGTGAATGTCTTGGTCACGGAGAACAAGGACAGCGACGTCGCCTTGCCTTCTTCGGTTCTTCTTTGGCGATGGAAAGAGCACCTCTCAACCCGCCGAAACTCGAGAAATCGCCAGCCTCCTGCTTGCAGGAGGAGTGGATCAGACGCCTCGAGAAGGGCTTCTCGCTTCTTTTCGAGGTCCTTGGGTTGCTGACCTCTATTTACAATTTTTCGGGATCGGAGTGCTGAGTCGCAGTACCTACATTCACATCATGCGATGGCAATAGACATTCAGAGTTGTCCAAGAACCATGAGCAGGAAAAACAGTGTTCTAGTGTGCAATGTCAGCAGCCTTCTTCCCTTGTGGGCTCTTTGGTGGCCTCTTATGGGATGTGGCCTACAACGCGAGAAGCAACGAAACACATACCGAAGAAACCGAAGCTGTAAGAAGCCTTGCAGCATCCGGATGACTTTGAGATTGCATCGGTTTAGGGCTTGGACCTTTCGGTGCCACGCGGGTGATTAGAGGGTACTCTAGCCAGGGTGTCGGCTCCAAGTATCGGCTTCTGGAGAACTTTGCGCAGGCACGCAGGGGCGGAGGGTGGCAAGCGTGCGGGTGAGGGACGTGAGGGTGGGCTTTCGGGTTTCAGAGGTCGAGGTGGGAGCTTTGTGGTTGGATTTTTGCGGGCCTTGGTTTGACGTTGGATTCTGCCGGGCAGGGAATAGCAAGGAGCTGATTTCTGCCGAGGTCCTCTCCAAATCTGGGATGCCCACCGCCATCTTCCAGGCCTTCGACAAGGCCAGTCGGCTCTGAAGTGCAGGAAAAAGAGCGGCCCTGGGCGAACACGGTTGGGGCTCAACTCACGCAAGCTCCTAACTTGTTGGGGGCTTTCGTTTAATGCTCTCTGCTGGGACAATGAAGGTGGCCGCTCGGACCTGTTTGTCGAACGTTTCTGCTGAGGGGCGAAAACACACGGGGAGTTTTGCAGGGCCCTGCCTTGTGATGCTCATGATGGCTTAAGCCCGGAGTGTCACTGCTGTAGGAGCTTTAGCCCTTTCACTGGGCACAAGTCTTACCGGATATCCTCACACAGCGAGTAGGCAGCAAAACTGATTGGAGCGAGGGACGCTGTGCAGCTCCTTCCTTGCAGGGCAGCTCCCTGCCTGCTTTCCTGCGAGAGCTCTTGGAGCAACATGGCTGGAAAGGCGACATCGGGGCAAGACTTGGGTGTCTTCTGGAGCGAAACTTGACTTCGGTTCCGCAATGTGGTCTCCTGGCCGTGCAGGAGCCGGCTCACTGCCCCGCCTTTGCAGCGCTTTGCTGGCTGTGAGGGTCCCAGCCTGCCTGCGCTTTGGCTCAACAGAAGTGGTTCCTCTGCAGGCCAGACGGGCGGCCACCGAGAAACACCCGTTGGTGCTCATCATCCACAACCTGGAGGCGAGCGTGGAGCTCCTTCCGCGCTAGACCGCAGCACCTTTCTGAGTGCGCTGTCGCTGGGAGGTGCTTCCGGCGCCGCATCTTAGCGCCCTCGCATCTCTTGTGGCCACGAAAAAGGCTTGGTGTGACTGGGGTGGTGCATCCTCCTCTCACTTCTCTCCTTTGTTCTCACCAGCGCATCTTCGCATGGCGTCGGATGGGCTTCCAAGCCTGGCAGGAGATTTGGCTGGTTGCCTCGGCAGTGGCCTCGGCGCTCTCCCTTTTCACAGCGAAAGTTGGGTGTCTTCGCATGCCTTCGCCAATGAGCCGACCCCGTGGAGTGCCGAGGTCGACAACATCTTTGCCGATGCGGCGTTCAACATGGATCCTTACGCTGCCATGGAGCTACGGGCTACGGGGTTCGGCTTGAGAAGTGTCTGTGTAAAACCGTCGAGACTGTGAGGGACCGGGCTTCAGCCCTGAAGCGCGTTGCAAGGCGAAAGGCCCGAAAAGCGCGAAGGATTCCAGTATAGCGCTTGAGGGTGAGTGCAGGATTTCAGCTTCTCCTACGAAGAGGTGCACACTCGCGACAGCTTCCGAGCTGCACCGGACCTGAATACTTGGCGCGAGTCTAGGGCGAGGGATTTATCCTTGTACATTCTCGGGTATCTAATCATTGATTGCAATTACACTACACTGAATCACTTGCGCGCCCAGGCTACTACACTGTGGAACTGAAGGGCCGGTACCCGGACGGGCTGCTGGAGCCCAAGGAACCCCTTGAGAGCCGGTGGCAATGGGGATTCCAGCGGTGGCGGTTGGGGTGTGGTGGCGGCTGGTAGCGGTGAGGGTGACATGCTAGAAATCATTTTCATACGGCGCAGATCCCGAGCGCTGAGGCCCTCGTGCACACACCCGCTGGCTACGAAGAAGCAGACAAAGGCGCCCGGGACGTTTTTTTTTTTCTCCTGCTGGCGATGCTGCGAAGGCTGTGACCGAGCCTTGTGAGCATTGAATCGCACATTGTGACATGAAAGTATCAGTATATTGCCGATCATCGTTTGGAGCTCATGGTTCCTTTCAGGCCGCTAGGAATTGGTCTTACCTAAAGGCCCTTCAAAGAAGGACAGGGCTGCTGAGCTGCTGCTTCCTTACATCTGGAGGCGAGTCTTGGGCTCGTCTTGCGCTGCTTGACGCAGAATCAGAAGGAGCTGGTGCAGGAGAGGGGCCAGGGAACAAGTCACAGCTGTGCAGTTGGACTGCTGAGATTTGCTTTGCGAGCGGTAGTAGTTTCCATCCGACAAAATCAGAAGTCTTGTGCCCTGCAGGAGATTGCCAAGGAGCAGCTGTCAAGAGGCCTTGCCACAGACTCGAACACTCAGTCTTCCTGTGTTGGAGAGACACCTGCAGCAAGCCTTGCACTTGCGTCCCTTGCACATCCCTTTATCCCGTGCTTGAAGGGCAGCAGGGTGTTCCATGGGACGAGTTGGTGGTGGCGACCCAAGGATGTCCGACACGACCCCATTTTGGCAAGCTGTTAATATAACTTCTCGATGAAGCTCGAAGTGCGCTGTTCGTTGGCAGAACCCCAGTGCCCGAAGCGAGCCACAGACGATCTACGTTGAACAATGGCGCACGACCACTGATGCCGCCACCACCACAAGCAGTAGCATCAGCGACAGCATCAGCATCGCGATCAGCACCGGCACCATCGTCTTCATCAGCAGTGAGATCAGTGACAGCACTATGTAATTAATCACAATGCAAATGAGGTCTTGGCATCCGACCTCATGATCGCCAACAACCACACGAAGCTGAGGCAACCGAGCTCTTGCAGCATCCCTTTGCAGCTCCCAGCTTCGGATCAACGGGCGTAATCACAGTGAAAGATGTCCTTCAAGCAGCTCAAGGGTTTGTCTGTCCGGTGCATGCTCCTGCCAGCAATGCAGTGTTCCGTTGTGCACTGCGAGATGCTGAAGCCGTACTTGTCACTGCTCGTCAGCTTGTCTCATATCTTTCCGGGGAACGCGTTTGCAGGGCGAGAGTTCGCCGAGGCTGTGGGTGATACCGGGGCGCGCTTGCGTGGATGCGGACGGGGCTAGGGCAGGCTGTGGTCGCCGGAAGGCCAAGCGTTCGCGGGGCGACGTCTTCGTGGAGGGGGATGTTCGCCGGGCCACGCCGCCATGGACCGGGCTGGGGACGGCTGTCAGCGCCGAGCGTTCGCGGCGGCGGGGAAGGGCCTGCATTGGCGGCACGACGGTGTTGTGCAAGCGAAGATGGGGACGCTGAGGACTGCATGTGATGTGGGCACATCGTACACATGTCTCCAAGCCCACTTGTTGCAGCCTGCCTCCGGTCTGAAAGGAAGCCATTCAATTGTCCATGGTCTTCCCGCAGCCCTTTTGTAGTTAGTGTTGGAAGAGCACATTAGCTCTTTCGCCCGGGGATGTTGCGAATATGGTCAGTGTCGGGTGACTGTTTGGCTTCTTACCCCGCGGAAGAAGCAGGCGATGTGCGTACGCTGAAGCGCAAGCTACAGAGCTGGTGCGGTGTGCCGCGCTTCCGTCAAAGGCTTTTAAACAACGATGTTGATTTAGGAGACGATGCTCCGCTGCATTCTCCAATGGACCTGCAGCTGATCTTGTTGCCCTTTGCCGAAGAGCATGTGGATGATCTGGCGACCGCTGTGGAGAACAATCTCGTGTCCAAGGTTGAAGAGGTGTTGCGTCGTGCTCAGAATCCAGATCTGTCTCGACATGACGCAGTGGAAACGCCTCTTGGAATCGCGGCACAAAGAGGTCACGTGGAGATTTCCCGGTTGCTTTTAGAAGCCTGCGCCGACAAGGACAAGATTTGCCGAGGCGTCCGCAAGACACCTCTTGGTCTGGCCTGTTGCGGAGGTCACGTTGAGATTGTACGCCTGCTGCTGGAAGCTCGTGCAGATAAAGACAACACAGATGGTCAAGGCATCACCACTGCCATTCAATTGGCATCCAGTCGTGGGCAGGTGGAGATTGTCCGGCTCTTGCTTGAGGCCAACACAAACACGAAGGAGTTCAAGTCCGTTTCTGGCCAAGGCAGAACGGCTTTGGCCTGTGCGTCTCGCAGAGGCCACACAGAGATCGTTCGACTGCTGCTTCAGGCTAGGGCAATCAAGAAGGCAGAAGACCACGACTGCCATACAGCTCTCAAACTGGCATCGCGCAGAGGCCACTGGGAGATTGTGAGAGTTTTACAAGAGGCCAGTGCCACGCAGGACAGACAAACACACAAACTACACAGGTCGGTTTTCAGGAGTTTGCAGAGGGACTTTTCAGGCTCTATGGACAAACCCCGAAGCCCGGAGCCACGATCTTCCTTTCTCTCAGTCCAAGGACTCTAGTGGTTGTTGCAAGGGAGACTCAATACTGCAAGAAAGGTTTAAGGAAAGGTTTACCGCTCAGTCGGATTGTGTGGGACGGCGGGATTTGCAGGTGTTCTCGTGTTGGATGTGTCTGGTAGTGGCGCAGGAGCACACCACATCCGGTGTCCAATGCCTTGTCGGGGCTTCGCGCGACGGGGATGTGGATGTGGTGCAGCGGTTGCTGCAGGTCAGCGCTGACCCTGACATGTGCGATCACCAAGGCAGAACCGCTCTGATGCGTGCATCGGCTGCAGGGCACATGGAGATCGCACGGCTTTTGCTGAATGCCAGCGCCGATGCCGACAAAGCAGATAATGAGGGCACGACCGCCCTGAAGTTGGCCTCTCTCCTGGGCCGCGTAGAGATCGTTCATTTGTTACTGGATGCCCGCGCTGATACGAACATTGCGAGTCGAGAAGGCCGGACGCCTTTGATGTCGTCCTCTGGCAGAGGCCGCCTGGAGATCGCGCGCTTGCTGTTGGAAGCTGGGGCGGACAAGGAGAAGGCGGACAACCAGGGCACCACCGCTCTGAAGCTGGCATCCAACAGAGGCCGCTCCGAGATCGTCAGCCTCCTGGATCCCAAACCTCCGGCTTTCCAGTGCCTGCAGTCGTGAGATGCAATTTCGTGCTGCACCTGTACATCTCGAGACAAAGAGAAAAAGAATCCGCTCGGTCTTCAATCTTTAAGGCTCAGGTCAGTCCGGTAGGAGCAGAGGCTTGCTTGTTCCTGCGGCCGCTGAGAACAGGGGTCTCAGGACACGGGGAAGTAAGATTGCAACAGAGGCCAGCGTTACCAGAGGTCCCTATTTGCGAGGTTCGCACGACAGGTTTCTCCGCAGCACAACTGACAGTGGACAGGCGTGCTGTGGGATCACGGAAACTGAGTTTCTTAAATCATGGAGATGACGTTTGACACTAGTGAAAGCTCGCGCCGACATTTAAGATTCTCAGACTTTGACCACCGAGTTTACTGAGACGGTCGCACTGGAGGCGCCTTTTGAGTGAGCTGACAGACCACCAGATCCTCATCGAGAGGCCCGGTGGCGCTGTGCATGTGTGTGTGTGTGTGTGTGTGCCGGGCCTGCCCATATTCCCAACATAGGCATGGCCGCTTCGAGCTCGCGGTGAAGGAAGCAGTGCTCAGGCGTGGGCTTGGCGGGCCGGGCGGGCCGGGTCACCTTTGGCCGTTCAGGAAGTTGGCCGAGGGCGAGTCGGTCGAAGACGTGGACGTCGAAGGCGAAGGCGCGCGCTCGGGAGCCAACAAAAACTCTCGAGCTAACTTCTTTCCTCTCTGACTGGCGATGTCGGCCGGGTTGGGTGCAACCTTGGTGGTTTGATTCGGTGTCAAGCCTTTTTCACTTCTTGACTGGTTGCTGGGTTGGTCACCGGTTGGTCCCGTGCGAAGCATTCACCGGAGATCGCAGCTACGAAGGTGATGCCGCAGATGACGTCGAGCACGAAGACGAAGAGTTCTCCGAGGACTTTGCTCTAGAGCCAGTGTTCATAAGATCTTGAGGATCGGACGTAGGCAGTCCCGGAGCGGCAGACTTTAGGTTAGCCAAGGCCTCCAATGTGAAAAGAAGTGCAAGTGCAGGTTCCGAGGGGTCTGCTAAGGTCTGCAGCCGAAAAGGCTGCAGTTGGATACAGTGATTGCGACTTACCCCTGCTGTACACCGTATGCAGGCCTCAGAGGACGTGGACGACGACGAGTGACAGAAGCCCAACAACATCCAAGCAGCCTTAGATGTGTGTTTTTTCCTGCTGCTCAGTCTTGTTCAGTGGGTGTTCGGTGAAGCATAGCATTCCTTGCCGTGAGCTCGGGCTGAGATGGAAGCTTCGAAGGTCCCTTCGTCTCGGTGTTTTTTCTTGGGGTTTGGACTTGGAGCAGTGACTATGCACTGCACTGAGTGCGTGGGTTTGCGCAGGTGTCCCAAACGAAGCAGAGCTCGGTGTAAAGTTTCTGACCTGTCGGAGCTGAGGGCCAAGGTGGCTTTGCTGTCTTTGCTTCGGTGGACTTCCGTGCAGACGTCTCACACTGACGGGGTCTTGGGCGTGTGAGAAATGATGCTGGCCGCAGGCACTCTTTGTGTCCACGCTCCTGTGCCTTCTTCCCGGGTCGACCCAAAAGGAGCAACACCAAAACAAGGTCCAAACTCAGGCAAACGAGTCCCCAGCTTCCATTCCTGAGTTTTTTGGAAAAATGTGGCGGGTGTTCAGGTGCTCCGCACGCGCATCACGAAATCTGCTGTATGCATGGAGGGAAACGCTGTCACAGCCGAGTGCACGCAGTGCCATTGGCGTTAGCATGACATCATTAAGGCGGCTGAGATTCGCAGTCTTCCCAAGGTTAAGCCTGGTGTCAAAAGAGCGTTCCAGCTTCAACTGTCCTCTAGTGCAGGAGCAGCAGAAATTTGAAGAATCATCACAGCTCAGTGCAAAGCATCTCTCACATGCAGTTCAGTGGGTGACATGAAACTCTCTGATCCACTCTCAGTTCCGGATCTGGACACGGATAGGCGCATGCGCTGAGCCCCAGCGCCGGTAGGCTGCTCCTGCATCCGGTTGACCATGGCACATCGGCTGCGTCGCCTCTGCGATCAGGTCCACGTTGGGGAGAAGTGTAAGCGTGCGTGGGGATTTGAGGCCCAAGGTCCCCACGTAGGAGGAATATGGAAGACACAGGCTTCTTTGTGCTTGCAGTGTGGTTTACGAGTTTAGTTGTAAGTCGATTGCATTGCCAACAGCTTTGTGTGGCGGTCTCTCCATTCCTCTCTTGCCTCTGGTCTGGAACGAGGTCAAGGTGAACGATTCTGTTTCGCGGGACCTGACCTCTTAGTTTCCTTCGACATAAGTCTCATTCTCATGGGTCTCACAAGTCCCAAAGTCGAAGCTTGTAGCACTGGAGGTGGCCCCTGCGCCCTGCAGCACATCGGCGGCAAGCACTTCGGGTGCGTTTCATGTTGGTGTTGGGTTTAGCATGGTTTTGTCCGTGATTGTCTCAGCAGTCATGCGAAGCTTGAAGTTTGGTGTGGACGCCGCACAAAGTTGGGGCATGCCTCGAAGATGGATGGGATAAACGGAGAGGAGAGCTCTCCGTTGGAGGGATCACTGCTTGCGGGCACCTGCGAAGATTGAAGCAGACAAAAAAAAGAGCGCCAGACAGCCAAGGCGCTTCAGGGCCACCTGCGACCGGCTCCATTGCCGGTTCGGTGGTGGTGACACTGGTGGCGGCGGGCAACAGCGGCGCCCCGTCACAACGAAGTGCACGAATCAGCCGGCCTCCACACAGCCTGCCCCATCACTGAGACCAGTTCCACCGTCGACACTTGTGTCGTATGTTTTTCACGGCGGAAATGAGCCTTAATGCTGTGGATAGAAACTCTACTGCAGTGTAATTGTTGTACGCAGTCCAGCAGACCCTGAGCGAGAGGTCACGTTTGTGCTGCCTTGATCAACGGCAACACGGGAGGCAGGACCGGTGGCAATACTAGGGCAGTTTTCACAAACAGAATTTGTTTCTGGCTCATGTCTACGTCCGCCGCAGCCTGGCTTATGGGTGGATTTCTGAGAGAGGCCTAGGGCAGTTCTCAGTGTTCAGTGTCCTCGAATGATTGCTGACAGGATTTGCTGCACCTTGAATTGGTTGATTTTAGCTTGGCTTTCCAGATGTTGCTCGGTCCGGAGCCTTGGCTCCCAGCGCCGGCAGGTCGACTATTGCAAGGGTATCCAACTTAGTAACGTCTCTCACAGTCCGTGTGGGTTCGTGTTGGAACAGTGGCATCATGGTGTAGGCGAGCTAGGAAAGCTCCTGCAGGGCTTGATAAGCGTAGTTTTCCTTTAGCATGAAGCCATGCAAGTAAGAAGACATAGGCCCACAAGGGCGCTCTTCTCCCCAACGCCATTCGCTGTCCGCTGCCGAGCGATGTGGGAGGAAGTCTGCCACTCTCACTTGCATCGAGACCTCCAAAATCCATCCTTCACCGATCACTTACACAGCAAGACCAGCGTGCGCAAGCGCTGCAAAACAGCAGTTGAGGATACTGTACGTGCGTGCGGGGTCAGTTACAGCTAAGATGTAAAGCAGTAAAGCAGATGACTTCAACAGCTTATAGCTTCTAGCTACATAGGTAGATATTCAGCTAGAACAGAAGCACATCAAAAAGCTACGTCGCGGAATCCTTCGAAAACACTGGTTTAGCTCAACAGCATCATCTTGACAAATAGTCGGTACCAGTACCAATACTCTTGTCGTTGCCTCTGTGCGTGACATCATCGCTAGAAATCGCATGATCATCCCATCTCGACAGCAGACGGGTACAGTGGCCAAATCCAGGGTATGTCTGGGTCACCGTCCCATGTGTGGACAGAAACCTCGAAAAGGTCAGAGGGCCACAGGCCACAGGGGTTTTTGTTCGGGACTTGGGAGTGAGGCTTAATTTAACATCTAACACGATCCTCTACCCAGAATCCTTGATGCAGACCCCAGGGCGAGCAGAGTCCAACATGCGCAACTTCCAAGCTTCGCTGAATCGTTTCGTTTTGACAGCGCCGACTGAAAACTCTTCGGCGGGATGTGCAAATGGCACAGTGCATCATCGTTCGCCTTTAACCTGTCATTTTGCCTCAAGTTCCTTGAAGCTGCAAATGCTTGGCAGCGGATTATTCCAAAACATGGAAGGTAAGACATGGTACGAGAGCTACTCCAAGAACTCTTTCAAGGCAGGAGGGCTTGGCAGATCTTCTGAAGACCTGCTTCGCCGAAGCCCGGAATGCTCCAGCTGTTGTTGGTCTGATAGTCGAATGGATCGCCTTCCCATGCAGACTCATTGCAGGAGGGGTCCATAATCCAGTTCCTCCACAAGGATCGGCGCGAGGGTTTCGAATTTCACTCTTGCCAGTGATCCTTGTCTCGAACTCTAGATCGACCCGGGTTGAAGCCTGAATGCTTCGGAAGGCATGGCCAGAGTGGACTGGGGGGATACTGGGGCGTGTGCAGCTCAGCTGCCCGCAGGACTCGAAGGAGCTGCGCTACGGCATGGTTGACAAGGAGCCTCGAACCGGTCAGCGAGTGGTTTGTGTCGGCTACTCCAGTGCAAGCTGCTTGCCACAAGAACCTGCCTAGCATCATCACGAAACAAGATACCAGGAGTTGTGGCGGCGCCATCGCTGTATGCGAGGAAAACTGCAATATGCCATATGCGTGTGCAGGCGGTCAGCGATTCCGAGGGCTTCGTGAAGATCGCAGATGGCACGTCCCTTGCAGCCAAGGCTTTAGGCGCAAGGTTACGAGTTACAACTGCGAAATCGCCGAACTCTTCAGGCTGCGCAGTGGGTTGAACAAGAAGTTTCATATTTGTCGCGAGAGAGCACCTGTCTTTTTCCCGCTGCACTCAGGTTCATCTGGCTGACGGAGGCGAATTCGATATGGGCGTTTGTGGCAGACGAATATCTGGATGCTCGGGATCATGTTCACTGGGACCGCACAGACTCGTAATGGCCTTTGATTTGAGGTCTAACTATGTCTCACATAGGATTTTGTTAGGTCAGTAACTCTGTAGCATACGGACGTGTCTTCGTTGTCTCTCATCACACGTGGGGCGCTTGCCGACTTCGCTGCGGTCGGTAGGCATCGCACGCCTCCGCATGTGTCATGGAGCAGACAAAACATTCCCGAGAAATGCGAAAGTGGATTGTGGATCCGGGTTTTGGTTCAGGGCGTGGGGCCTCGGAGTGGCCTCCTAGCAGATGGGGTAAGGAAGGAGTTCAGAAAGAAAGTGTCACAACCCGTGTGACGCCTTAGACTTGGACTTAGAGCTCCGCCAAGGAAGAAGCCAAAGCCATCATTGACGCCTCCATCGACATGTGGAGGATAGCCATGCTCCTGTCCACAGAGGGCGTGAAAGTGGCTCTCACTGCGACGACCGCAGACGGCCTGTTCGGCGCATCCTCACTGGCTGCTGGGGGTCTCACATGGGCTGGAGGTTTGGGTGTGGGTGCTGGCCTGGTGGTGGTGATCGCAAGTGCCCCATCCATGCTGGCAGCCACCAGCCTCTACAAGCTCAGCAGCGCTATGGAGAACGACTCCCTGACGCCCCAAGTGGTGGCGCTTGGAGGCGCTGGCGGAGTCCTCGCCGGATCTACTGCCGGCCTCTTAATGATCTCCGAATCCGGGACGATTGCAGGGCTCTCGGCTTCGGGCGTTGTAAGTGGTTTGAGCACCCTTGGTGGTGGAAGCGTCATGGGCAGCCTAGCGATGGGGGCTGCAGTGGTCGGCAGCGTGGCTGCACTGACGGCCGTCGGAGTGGGGGGCGTGGTGTGGCGGGTGTCACGGGCCTATGTGCAGGATCGGTTGCTAAGCCAGAGGTCGAGCATGCTCGACCTTGCTGTACAGTACAAGTTTGAAAACCGATTGCAGCCCGAGCGTCCTGCGAGTGACCAGCCGATTTCCACGGCGCCTTCAGAAGAAAGGCAGTGATCCGCGTGTTGAACTCTATTTCGTACATAGATGCCTGACATGATGCGTGCATCATCTTCCGTAGTGTCGTCGCATCACGTCTCCTGGGACAAAGTTACCGTGGAAGTCAGTAGATGCACCTCATTCAAGCCAGCTGAACGAATAACGAGATGACTCCAGCCCTTGCCGAGTCTGCAAGCTTGAAATCCTGAAACTTCATGACCCCAACTTCCTTAGCTTCGGCTGCCTTAGTTTCGGGAGCGAAGATTGCTTGCATCCGAAAGTAAGTCGTTCGAGACTTTTTCTGCGGCGCCTTTGTCCACTTGGGGGAGTTCCCAACTGCAGCTCAGAGAGCTATAGAGAGGTACACTGTATGCGTACAAGTTGGCAATGTTGCGGACTCCCCCCAGGCGGCTCTGTGCCCACGTGAGAAGTGGAGTCTTTTTGTTTCGGAAGTGGCCCGTCCTCCTCTCACAATGGTGTCACCGTGTCTCACCCGGCCTACGGGGTCTCAGATTCCCCCAGGCGCTCGATCAGCCCCGGTGCTTTCCCCTGCACCCCTTTCTTACCGTTTCAACTCCAACTTCCGTCCACAGCGGGTTGATCGAGCTCTCGCCTTCATCCGCAGTAGGGGACAGAAGTGATGAGGGTGCGACAAGTGCTGGGCTTCAGGGATCCTCGTGACACTTTGAGATCTTGGGAGCCGACAGTTGCAAGACCAGACCCCGAACCGAACTCGACTAGCAAGAGCTCGTGGCCTCGAAGTGCAGGCCGCGTCAAGGTGCAGCTGCTCACGAGTCGACCCGAGCTCTTTTCCAACTTGCGACCGCTGGCGCTCCGGCCACGCTTTCGTTGGAGACTGCTTTGCTTGTCGGGGCTTTGCCTCTGTGATCTTCGGAGCCCGTGGTTGCTTGGGGGTTGAAGCCTTTCAGTGTGGATGCAGCTGGCGACGGGGTTTGAAACAGTGCGTTGCCTGCGCGGAGCTCGTCTGCCTGGGCTTTCGCGTCTGGGCGAGGTGCATTTTCCTGACGGTCAGACTCAGGCCGCTGGGCAGATGTCGTCAGAGTGAGCGGCAGACAGAGATTTGAGCGGTTGCAAGGATCCCGTGTACGATTTTCATTAACGGGGCTCTTGTGGGTATTCCACGACAAGCTGCGGAGAGACCTGAGGAGGGCGTCCTCCATCGCGTCTCCCGCAATCCGGCCGAGCCCCGCGCTCGGAGGGGCCAGTACCAATCTTTACCTCCAGCGTGTGCCATCTGAGTCACTGCGACTAGGCTCATTCCGAACTCCGACATCGTCCTTTGGACTGGGCCGGTGACCAGCACGAAGGTGTGCTGGGGGACAAGCGCCAAACTCTTGAAGTTTGCGTGGGGAAGTCATGACAATGGCAGGAAGTCTTCGAGAACCTGCGGCCGTACCTGGATCCGCAGAAGACTTGCATTGGCACGATCTTCGCGCAAGGCGTGCGACGGGCAGCTTGTCATGTGTCAACGTGCAAACTTCAGGATTGGAATGCAAGGTCGCCATCGAGTCTTGAGATTCAACCCTAGACTTTTCGGAAGAAGGATTTGACGTGCCTTGCGTGACTGTGTTTCACTTGTGGGCCTGAAGCTCGCCAGAATCCCGGCACACCTTTGAGGCGAGCAGTGGGCCTCGTAGTTCGGTGCGCAAGGCCTCGTGCATGTCTTGGCCCAGCGCACCTTCGGGCCCAGCATTCGTTGGGCCCTCGGCACTGACAAGAGGCGGAGACACTTTGATATGGGGGGAATATCGTGGGAGGAGACCTCCAGGAACTGTGAGGCGCTTCGTGCCAGGATGTCGAACCGTAGACCCTCTCAGTATCTCAGGTAGCGACAGCTTTGTGAAGCGGAGCCCAGCTGCTGATGAGGCTTCTTCGCCTTGCGCAACATCCCCTGGCTCTGCCGGGTGGTGAAGGCCTTTGAGGGAAGTCGGAGAGGTTGAGAGTATAGCCGAGTAGCCGATGTCTGTGGGTAAGAACGAGGACCCCCGAAATCAGAGGCATAGTGTCATGCGGCGAGACGATTTGGACAGAACAGTGCACTCGTGTAGCTTGGCACTGACTGCTTTGCAAGTCCTTTAGACACCATACCACTCACAGCGCTACGTTTTGATTAAAATGGAGCGGCATGCAAGGAGTGTTTGCCTGTCTAAGAACTGTCTTTCACAGCTCAGAGTCATGATCGCCAGGTTGGTGCGGAGTGTGAGATTGTCGGAGCCAAGAGCAGCATTGGATCCTTGGCTTGGTCTGAAGGCTACGACATGCTGGGACCTTCTCTGTGGTCGTGCATGGGGTGGTGCTCGCCAGCTCCTACCTTGAGCCGATGCCGATCCGAGCATGCTTCCCAAAGCAGACCCTGAACCCCGAGCCACTGTGGTAGACACGATTCTGAAAGCGAGCCCTCGGCGGCTGAGGTGTGATGACAATGAACCTTACCAAAGAGTGGGCCCAGTGCCCAGAGGGGACGCTCCAAAGCAAGCACATCAGACATCGAAGCTTCGACCTTCAACCAACTCTGGCCAACAGTACTTCAACAGTTGGGCACGAAAAGTCTTCCAAAGGTCAAGGCAGAGCTGGAACCGCTCTTCCTCGTCAAGAAGATGGGGCCAAGCCGCCATTTTGGCAAGTGGCAAGCGCTGTAGGATCTTAAGTGAAGGCGAGGTTCATTCCCAAGCAAGAGGAAGAGGCGCTCATAATGTGCACGATTGGATTTATGATTGAGCCGGCAGTAGGCTGCCGGACCTGAGGCATTGCTTTCGGCCCGTTATGGTATCTGGCAGGAAGCATGAACCGGTCATCGAGCTGCTTCCAGACTTCTGCCGGGAGTCCCAGGAATACACCCGGAGGATGCGAGCATCTGATACTTCCTTCTTAAACGTTAGCAGCTGTAGAGTCTCTGCTCCAGCTGCTTGTCCTGTCCATGAGTCGCGAAGCAGCTGAGGCCCGATCGTTTTCAACCCAGCGAACCAGATCATCCATCCCGCCCGCTACTGGGCCATGTTCCGAAACTGGAACGGCCAGCCGGGGCCTCGATTCTTGGGCCAGGCAGGGAGGTGTGTTGAGTGCACTCGATCCTCCCCTACCTGACTCCCGCGACCCATATTCGGGTGTGTGTGTGTGTGTGTAAGTGACATGCAGCGATCAACCAACATGCGAGACCCCACGTCCTCCACGGAGCATCCACTCACGGGTTTCGCAGGTTTAAACTGCGAAACCCTAAACTTAAACTCTAAACCCTAGCCTCTGTAAACGCCGCTCGGGGCCGCAGAACTGTGATGAACTGCGAAGAAGCAGGTTCTGAGACCATTTTTGGCATGAGTGCCAGACCCCAAAGACCGGCAAGTTAAACACCACCGCAGGCCTCTTCCCAAGGACAGGGTGCTGGGCGTGTTGCTCAGGTGTTCGAAATGCTGCAACTCTTCTGCCAAAAAAAAGGGGGGCACGGCAAGCGCTGGGCAGCGAAAGGACACATTGACATTGTGCTCCTTCCTGAGCAGGACATGGAGCCGCCTGAGTGGCTCTACAGGGATATGGCCGAGCCCTCGAATGCTCCGGTTTCAGTGTTCGGAATATGACTAAGCCTTGAATTGAGCAGACAAGAAAGGCAGGCAGGTATTCCCGCAGAGTCTGAGCTGTTTCTTTATGTCTGTGTCCTTTGCCACCGCTGCCGTTTTTTCAGGACGAGACCGCTGGACAGGTGTTGGAAGTGCTCGATGAGGCTGCTGCAGCCGAGTGGCTTGTCGCGATGTTTGCCCCCACGCAGCTGAAGCCCACTTAGAGCCCTGAAGCCCGGAAGCTTAAGCCCGGAGGGACACTCCCCCAAGAGTCCCGAAATTCAGGAGCTCCTGCTCTGTATACTTGTTGACAGGAGCTGCAGCACCTCAAGGATGCCTTCCACCAGGCGGGAGCCCTGAGGTTTGCCGTCAGAGTGAAATAGCGAAAAGGCCGATTCGGGTGCAAGGCTCCACGGGATGCTGAGTCACACTAGTTCTGCGGCTCACAGGTTGGAAGCTGTGTCAGGGCATCCAGCTCTTTCCAGAACTGCGCCGGCTTGCCTTTGCCCGCACCGTAATGGCGCATGGGGTTCGGCTTTCGCACAGCTCTTTGCTGGTACTGCCGACCTGGTGCAGGCAACGGGCGCCGAAGGCTGTGCCGGTCCCGGAGGGCTGCTTATCGGTTTCAAAGGTGTCAGGAGCCTCAAGAGGTCGCAATGGTTCCAAAGACGGGGAGAGAGAGAGAGAGAGAGAGAGAGAGAGAAGGGCCTCCTCATCCTAGCCCTGGCGAAAGAAAGAGAGAGTGAGAGAGAGAGAGGGGATCGACCCCTAAGCCCTGCAGAAAGAAAGAAAGAAAAGAGGGGAAGAGGAGAGAGAGAGCGAGAGCGAGAGAGAAAGATGGGAGAGACACAATCCCCAAAGCCATACGCATTCTTTGAGGCCAACATGTCATTCCCTTGGCCACGCGCCTGCTGGAGCAGTACGGCGACCAGATTGCCGACAAGCCACGCTCCTGAAGTCTGGATTTCCGGAGCTGCTCAACAGCTGATACTGGGGACGGTGTAGTGGATCAGGCCGCAGTCATCATAGGTATATGTTGGGAAATTGTATGGCGACTGGCAATCAATCGCACGGAAGGTATGCAATCATAAGATCGCAGCTTGTTATAAGCCTGAATGTGCACAAATGACGACGACTGAAATCTCTGAGTTGAATGCACTTAAAACCAAAGGATTTGGACGTGGCCCAGGAAAACTTCCAGCAGTTCTAGACAGAGAGCAAACAGAAGTATGCCCTATCTATCACTGTAACTTTGAGCACTTCGTTGACACATGGAGAGAAGTGAGATTGAAGCTCTTTGGTCACATCCTGAGATCGTCAAGATCAGACCCGTTAACCCAGGTCTTATTTCGTTGCGACAACCTAAGGCCCAGGAATGTTTTGACGAGAAACACATGCTGATGCATAGACGCAAACAGCAGGTCCTATAGCCATGTTTGATTCCAGTAATGTTGCCATCTTCAAACAGTCAAGCAGCATGCTCGTGTAGGGCTAGATCTATTTTAGTTCCGGATGATGGCACAGACAGGCTTTCACCTCTCCAGGTAATGCGCGAGATAATCTCATCAAAGTTGATGCGGCGCTTTAGTTTGAATGTTTGCACATTTGACATTTGACATGCGTCATGGCTTGACAATCAATCTACCCGGTTCTGTTGGGAGCTCACCGTGCTCGCTACAAAAAAGAGAGTGCTTCCGTGGCGCCTTCTTCAGAGGTCCACTATGGCCAAGATGGTCGGCACCAACAAGGCCTACTCTATGGCAAGGCTTGGATGCCATGGGCCTTAACCTGTGCCCCAAGCTGTCATCGCAGTGCACTGCAGGACACCCGTTCTACGAAGCAAGGCTGGAGCATCTTGGAAGCAGGAAGCGAGGGAACCCTTATTCGAGAACCTCGGCGCCAATGTAAGTCTGACAACTTCAACCTGGCAGGTCATGCCACATCCCACGCACCGCGTGGTCACAGATGACATCGGCTGGGGCCTATGTGCTGGGAGCTCAGGGGCCTTGGATGCGCTTCCAAAGATGTTCATGTCCAGAAAACCACAGGAATCGTTAAATTGAAGGCCGAGCTTGTGGGGATGAGTCACTGACTCCCCCTTTCCATCCTTTGCCTGTCTTCGGCTGCAGCCTATTGTCGGCGGCCGCCAGTGACCGTCAGCCACTCTTGTTGACACAGGACGACGTCCAGCGTCCCGTTCGGTTTTCATGCTGACGCTTCGTGGTGTGAGTGGAAGGAACGAATTGCCCGTGTTGCAATACGCCGCATCGCCGGAGCGGAAGAAACCAGGAGAAGGTGCGGCGTCGCTAGGGCGCTCGTGTCGAGCCAAAGAGGCTCGAGGCTAGGCCTGGGCTTCTATCCGATAAGTACTTGTCAGAGTGCTGGCATCTCCGAAAGTCCGGGCCTGATGTTTTGGAGGGGACGAAACCCCGAAACGCCGAAACGTGCATCCTGTGAAGCCCCTTCCAACGGAGAAAGTTCAGCTCTCCTCCTTTGCGGGTCCCAAGGTCTTGGTGTCCATCGCCGAGCGCCTGCAGCCCCTGTCCTAGATGCGAAGATGGTGCGAATGTCAGGGTATGTCAGGTCTAGGTCAGGGCCTGGGGCCAGGGGGCCTGGCCTCTTAAGGCAGGCTCTGCGTGTTGAGGTCTTAGGCAGAAAGCCTCGTGTTCTGCAAGGGTCCTTGGCTTCCCGACTCCGACCACCATGATGCGGATGCTCATCGAGTGGCACCAGAAGCTGATGGGCAAGGACATCTGCTGCTCCTCATCCTCGCCGAAAGCTGGCCTGTGCTGTCAGGAGTACCTCTACAACGGTCAGCTGCGTGGGCGAGACTGCACGGAGTTGGTGCTGCCTCTTGGTTCGAAGAGTCGGAGAAGCTTAAACTCACAAGTCTGCTGGTGTGCAGTTTTCAGGCTGGGTCCTGGGGACGACCTCGTGCTCGTGGCCAAGGCCACCTGCCCCAACTCTCTGCGCTTGGAAGCTTTTCCTTTTCGGGGTTGTACAGGAAAGGAGAGGCGAGGTGGATCTTTGGGGCGTCCTGGTTCCGGGAACGCATCGAAGTGGCGTTGGTTGGCTTCAGAGTTTCAGGCATCAAAACATGCCAAAACATGCATTGGAGTCGTCTATTTCTCTCCCTGCGATCGCCTTGACCAGGGAGTCGAAGGTGGCCGCTCGGACCATTGGATCTCCACCGCCGACGAGCAGGCCCTTTTGCCTGTCCCGCTGACAAAGACACGACCCCCAGGCAGTGCCCTTGCGATCCTTGTGAGGCTATGGAGCCGCGCTACGGCAATCCCTGAGAGTGCAGAGTCGGCTTGCGGCTTGAAGCTCAGTGCTTGCCCCAGGGCCCTGGTTTCAAAGGATCTACGGATCCTTTGGTCAAATTTGCCTCAAAGAACGTGACCCTGTCCGAGTCTGGCTCTAGACACACTTGCAGAGTCGTTCCATGCTTCTGACGGAGTAACACAACTTAGGGACTGCGCACTGCCGGGCCAAGAAAGGGAGTCGGAGCGGTGGAGGCAGTGCAAGACATCTCAGACGTATCAGTGCATCGACAGAGCTCAAAGTGAGAGTTTCTGTTAGGGCCCCGGAACTTCTGACAGCTGCGTCGAAGCACTGAGCTGCCGACGTCCGTTTCCCTTTCCGCCGCAAGCGAGTTCGTCTTCATTGGCACAAGTGACAGCAACGTCGAGCTTCTATGGGGAAAGGATGTCAGTGGACTGAGAGCAGCAACGGGCGAGTGCCGCATCCGCGGTGCAGCTGTTTCCAGAGAGCACGACAGAGCCGGGTTCGCAGCGAGAGCGCCAGATGGAAAGTCTGTTCAAAGCACTATCAGTTCTCCCGCCACAACAGCAAACCTGCAAGGGCCGCCGAACCTCGAACCCTTCGCTCGTTCCCACCAGCTCTGCCGCGGAAAAACTTCTGCTGTGGCGCGGGTGGGAAGTGAGCTGATGCGCAGCGGGTGCCTGCAAGGGTGCACAAAACGGTAGAGTTGCTTCACGCTTCACAGCCGCATGCCGGGATCCTGCCGCCCGCCTGGAACGTTAGGCCCTGACCTGAGACGGTGGCACTTCGAGTTTCCGAATATTGAGCCGGCAATTCAGCTCGGATTGTTGGCTTGGAGCAGTCGCCCTGCAGTGTTCCCCGCTTGCAGGCCTGGGTAATTTGCCAGAGATCTTTGTGTGACATAGAGATGGTCAGTTGACAGGCCACATCAGCTACGGGGTCGAATCTGAAGGCCTATTGACACTTCGTTGATTGCATGTCCTTGAGTGCAACTTTCATGCTTTCATTTTTCAGCAGCCTACGCCTGCAACTTGCACTGCTCGATGTTTGCTCGAGGGGAACAGCAGTTTCATATTTACGTCTTCCCCGGAACTCCTGGGGCATCACAAGACAGTTGCAATTGCACGGCAGGGAGCACACTAAATCTTGCCATCGCTACGGCTTGTTTGTCTCTTGCTTGCTTCGTTAGTAGGACCTCTCTCTTTTCTTTGGCGCCATGGCTGTCAACAGTGCGCCTCCCAGCGAAGAGCTCTTCGTGACCGGCTTGCCCATGGATGCCACCAGCGAGATGACAAAGCAGATCTTCAGCCAGTACGGCTCCGTGAAAGAGACCACGGTCCTTCCCGTCTCCCCAGGGAAGCAGGCCGCGGCTGGCTTCGTGGTGATGAACAGCGTCGAGGACGCCAGATGGATCGTGGAGCACGTCAATGGCAACGTCCCCCAAGGTGCGGTTCGCGTCGGTTCTTCCTTGCTCTATGTATCTCGATGTAGAGTCGCTATTTTTAGATACTTAGACATTTCGCCCCGGACTCAGTGCTGAGAGTGCTGCCTTCAGTCGCCGCTCGGAAGGCCTGGCTAACCCGGTGACCGTCGTCTTTGCGACGCCCAAGTCCATGCGCCCGGGTGGCGGTGGCAAGGGTGCCGCCATGAAGGGCATGATGAAGGGCATGAAAGGCTCCTGGGCTGCAGTTCTGTCTGTGAAGCTTGTGTCCTCGTCTTTTTTCGCCGAGGCTCGGGCATGCCACCGGAGATGATGCAAATGATGCAAATGTTCATGAGCGCCATGGGCGGCGGCATGGGCGGCGGCATGGGTGGTGGCAAGGGTGGCGGCTGGGGCAAAGGAGGTGGAGGTGGGGCTCGGCCACCCACGGGCAGCGTGATCCGACTCCAGGGCCTACCGTTCTCGGCATCGAACGACGAGATCCAGCAGTTCTTCAATGGTTATGGGCTGACCGGACGAATGCACATACAGGCCGATGCAGGCGGCCGCCCCACAGGCATCGGATTCGTGGAGTTCGTCACACCGGAGGAGGCGAAGCGGGCTTACAACGAGAAGAACTACCAGACCATCGGTACCCGGTACATCGAACTCATGGAAGCCTTCGACAAGGATGTTGAGATGTACCTGAATGGTGGTGCCGCAGTCATGAACGGTGGGGCCAGGGCATATTGAGGTATGATCCCTTTCCTTCGGTGACTAAAAGGGCTAACGGCTACGGAACTCCAATGGCAGGCAGGTTGCAAGCCTGCGACATATGATGGGATGTCCTATGAGGGTCTTGAGGATGGGCTCGACTAGTGAGGGAGAGGTTCTTCAAATTTAGTTCCTGTCAGAGTTTTGTGTGGACTGACTCGAACGAAGACGGATTACAGTATGCCGTTTTTTGAGCTAGGCAGCTGTTCGAGAGTGGTTCAGAATACCATGAGCCAGTCCTGTGTAGCCTACGAGCCGGAGAGACAAATCTCCACGCACTGCGCCAAATGCAAAATAATGCCTGCACCGATTCATGCAGTCGTATCTTGTGCTTGAAATCAGAAGTAGCCGGCTGAGCCACAGGACAGCACAGACTCGTGCAGGCAGATGCCGATCTCAACGGCCACGCTCTTTGCATGGCCGCTCAGATCGGCATCGGCCTGCGTGAGTCTTTTCTGTCCCATTCCTCTACGGTGCCCGAAGGCAGCTTCACCGCGCCCGCCCCGAAGCACGGTCTGAAGACTTGACAAGCCACCTTCTGCCAGGATGCGCCCGACATGGTGTCTCCGGACAGTCAGGTGGTCTTGCCGCGTGCCAAGGTCAGCCGTCGCACAGAGGCTGTAGCAGAGAAGCCCGCAGTGCGTTGCTGACGGCAGTTCAGAGGAAGCATTCTCAGACTGGCTGTGGTAAACATAGTAGCATTGAGTTTGCCTTTTGCGAATCCTGCAAACCAAGGCAGCTTCAGAGAGATATGTTTTAGGAATGCACTTCGGCATGCGTTCTCGACAGCCGTGTCGAGGACAGCTAGTGAAAGAAAGCTAAGATGAGGCTGTTTGTACATGTTCTGCGTGCCAGTCTACTTGACTCCATGAACCAACTCTGTCTTGATGTAGACAAGCTACTCGCCAGACAAGTACATGCCAGACACGCCGTGTGTCCTGGAATGGACTTTGTAGCTGAATCTTACGACGATGCTTTTGAAGTCGTTGACGGTCCTGGGGCAGTTGGCGACGTGCGTCATATAGCCCAACTACAATAACTCCAAGCTCAAGCGCTGTCAAGATCGCCGCCTTTCCAGTGCATCACTCCAGGCTGCGGCCGCCTTCCGAGGTCATGTAGCGGCGACGAGAGCCGCACAACTCGTCCCCTTCCTGCTTCTGGAGCAGGGAATTGGCGACGAGCATGTGGCAGAGGCCACGATTGAGAAGGCCGATTTCAGTCTGCATCAGACCAGACATTCGGCAATGCGTGTGGCACGAATGAGCTTCAGAAGAACAGCCCGAGCTCCACCCGGTGAGC